CACCATCCCTGGAGATATTTAAAAGACACGTAGGTGTGGTGCTTAGGGACGTGGTTTAGTGGTGGATTTGGCAGTGCTAGGCTAATGGTTGGACTTCATGATCTTAAAGTTCTTTTCCAACCTAAACTATTCTATTCTATGATTCTGTTCTATGATAGCTGAACAATTACTGGTTTTAGCCTTTTCCTTCCATCTCCTCTGCTTACCTTGTTATCTTCTCATAAAGTAAGTAAAAAAAATTTCACAAATATGTGTGTGACTTAAATCCATCCAGCCAGTTTGCTCAAGGGAGTGGTGAGTTGTCTTCTTTTTAGCCAACTGTGTTTCCTGGTAGCGTACCATTAAGGGGAAAGATAACTCTGAATTTGCATATTTGAAATCTAGTGTTTTATTGCAGTTTAGAAAGTCAGATTGGTGCTTTGTGTGGAGTCTAGAAAGTCTGCTCAGCTAAGAGGCAATGACACCTGAGCATATTAATAGCATGCTGACTGCACAACTGCACATGGCTTGAAGAGCTTTTTCCCAGTGAGAGCGAAAGGAAGCCAAGACGCTTTACCTGTTATGGCAGAGTACTGATGGACAAACTCTGTCCCACAGAGGGTTGGCATAGGCTGCCTCAGCCCAGCTGCCTTTCCATCCCCCTCTGTTTTTTGGCCGCCTCAGGGGCACATCTTCAAAGGTCAACCCTCCCATCACCTTCTGGGAGTGATGCCTCCCTCCAGAGAGGGGTTTAGTGTGGTCACTATGGGGATGTGTGGCTCCTGCCATTTCATTTTCTCAGGGACAACAGCAGCATTTGCCAGTGACCCTGGATTTCAGAAGATTAAATAGGACTTATTCAAGAACAAAAGTCATAGCAGAAATAAAGAGACTGTAAACCACTAAACAGTCTACACACGTGCTGAGTTTGCTATCAGACTCTTGGGCTTTTGGTCAGGCCATTCGGTAAGCTTGTCAGTTCTCTGCTCTAGAAACCACATATCATGGCTTTCTGTTAGTGCTTGGATTAAATAAGAGTGACCTCTTCTCCTGTATCAGGCCAGTCAGTGTGTGCAGTTCTCTTCCTGTGATGCTTTTTTCAACCGGTTCAAACCAGGGTATAGCTCTCTTCCAAAACTGTAGGCTTATCTAAAGACAATTACGCATCTGAGGATTTTCTTCAGAGACTTCAGGTCCTGCTGGAGTATTCTGTACCTTCCTTCCTCCAGCGACATACAGACATGTGAGTCAGTGACCTTGAGTATTCCATATGCCTTTAGCATCTGGCACATCTGTATGTCCCTGTGTTTCCAAGATCTGAAACCTGCCATTTCCAACCAAAACACTTCTATGATTCTATGATTCTATTCTGTATGAAGTATTTCTCTTCTGAGGGCTGGCTGGTACCCAGGAAAGGATCTCCCCCAGCTGTCTCCCCCAGTATGTAAATGTAAGGTAGGGGGAAGAGGACACCTCTGCTCCTACTCTGCCTGGGTAACCTGTTTTGTGCCAGGTTTCACTCTGCAGTGAATCTGGTTTCATTCCCCTTCCAGAGAATCTTGTGATGGGCCCCATATTGCATCCTAGAGGTGGGTACCCTGCCCAAATCACCCCTGGCCCTGTCTCTTCAGCTGCAGAGTAAGGGGAAGCAGAGAGATTAATAGTCATTCTGTAAGTTACCATCTGTTTGTTCGCTTGCCCTGTAGTTCTATTACCATTGAGCATGTGGATCCATATCCCTCCTTGCACAACAAAACTATATCCAATTTAATCATCTAGTGGCCTCTCAAGCATACAGATAGCAACACTTATGTCATGCAAAATTCATAAGCTCCCCACACTTCTTGTCCCTTGATGCTAAAATATTCCAGTATTCCTTCACAGATAGATATAAAATTTTGTTCTCATAAACAGAAGAACATTTTCTTCTGAGAACTAACAGTAAGCTTTAGCCTGTTCAGCCATGTATTTAGAGACAGTTTTTGAGTTAAGAAATATGTTTTTCTTATTCCCAAGATAACAAGCTGTATTTCAGACTAGAGTGGCTTTATGTCCATTTAGAAGAAAATCTCCTGAGGGAGAATAAGGAGGAAGAAACTTCATTCAGGATCAAAGTGGTGAAACTTTACAAAAGACCTGTTTATTCCAGAGACTGCATGCTTTTATCAAAAGGACACTATCTCCAAACATAGTCATAAAGGTTAGGCTCCAAGGCAGTGTCTGTATTGAATAGAGGCATCTCACAAGGCAGAAGCAATATTACAGTAGAGAATGCAGTCCCCAAAATTTTACAATGACAGTCAAACTGTGAAAGAAGACTTGAAGTAAAGCGTGTGTAGGAT